ATGTGGGTGTGGGTTGCCGATGTGGCTTTGTAGGATGTGGGTATGGAGTGTCGGGTGTGTAGGATGTGGGTGTGAGGTGTGAGTGTGGGAGTATGGGTGGCGTGAGGTATGGGCCTGGATATGAGTGTGCATGTAGGTGTGCGGGTATGGGTAGTATAGGGTGTGGATGTGTGGGTCTGGGTAGTATAGGATGTAGATTTGGGGATAGGGGTGGTGTAGAATGTGGGGATATGGGTGGCATGAGGTACGAATGTGGATGTGGGGGTGGGGGTATGGGGGTGGAGGTATGGGTGTCGGTATGCGCATAGGTAGTATAGGATGTGAGTGTGTGTATGAGTAGTATAAGGTGTGGGTGTGGGGTGTGAGTGTGTGGACATGGGTGATATGAGGTGTGAGTGTGAGCTTAATGGACTATAGAAAGATGCGATGTCAGGGATTTTGATTCCGAAACCCAACTTCCGCTTCAAGAGTTTTTAATATCCTGACTCCAATTCCAATTCCAACAGAGCTCTAAAGTGTTTTATCAAACCCAGTGAACTCAAATATGTTTTGTTTGATTTAGCACATGCGTAAATCAATAATAAGGCTGCTACATTACTATTACTTTTTATTACTATTATCGTGTAATTGGTAATAATTATATTTGTTTATTACTGGCAATAGCTTAATAGCAATATTGCGTCTACGACTTACTAGCTTTAGTACTATATCATTTTATAACCTTTTTTTTACTTCTTTGGTTGTACTACTTTTGCAAATTATTACTAATTATCAGCAATAAGTAATTTCCTTTTAAATTATTACTTATTACTAATTATAGTAATGTAGCACTACTAATCGGCAGTGCAACAAAGAAGTGAATTAAAATAAAAAAATCATTAAAATAGTATTTTAAATCTTTCTTTCATTGGTTGTACAGAGGAAATAAAAAGCAGTCACGAAGTTTTCTAGATCTACGATGCTCAAGAAATCGATAATTGCTGATGAAGCGAATCATAGTATTTCTGATAACATTGAAATATGGTTTCATTAATGGCATAATGTTTTTATGTTGTAAATCCTTTGAATGATAAAGCCAAAACGCAATCGATGTGAGTTTTTTTGTCGTCAAACTCATTCTTAATATATGTGACAAGTGTTGCCTTTTATTCTTTTTTTTATTTGTTATTATGAAAAAAGAAAGTTATTATTATTTGAAATAGTAAAAGCT